AAGACTGCTCGACTTATAGGGTTCATGCGGAATTATGGGCATGAACAATTCAACTCAAAGATTTCATGGGTAACATGTAATAGTCCCATGATTAGAAATATAATCTCAAAGGGGATTAGGAACTCAATAATCAAGACTTAGAACTAGGAGATACTACTCTTCTCAATGATACTCAATTTATGGAATTCATGCGGAAGTAATGGGCATGAACGACTCGACTCAAGGGTCTAAATATCAATAAGGAACTCATGTATACGACTCTTCTCATTCTCATACTTACTTTTTCAGAACCTAGTTCAAATCGATAGTTGATCTCAAATGATTCACAAATGAACACAAAGCTTTGCTTGAACTCTACTCTTAACTCTCTCTTGAATGTAAATTATGAATTCAAAAGTTATGGTTCATGATATGAAAGGTCTCATGATGACAAAGTAGACTCATGAATACATTCTTCTCATCTTCATACTCACTTGCTCGAGTCTTGAAACAAGTTACTTAAATTTGTAGAAGGTTCTTCAAAGAAAACTCAAAGGGACTATCTCAAATGTTTGGAGGAACTCTCAAGGCTTAACTCTTAACACTACCTTGAATTTGGATTTATGGATTCAAGGTTATGATTCATGTTCATGGAGGATTTGCAGATGTTTAGAAGTCATTTAGAGTAGTTAGAATCAATGAAAAATGTTAGGACACTTTAGAATAACTTAAATAGGCTAAATGATGAAAAACTAGTGAAAAACACCGATCCAGGCCCCAATTTACTGGGGCTCTTTTTCGGCGCACTGCTGGCACGTCACCCCAGCCTTCCTGGCGCAACGGGGGCGCGTCGCGCCAGCATTGCCCCAGGCAAAACTAACGAATTCTTCCTCTCGTTTTCTGACCTTAAATCACTTTTAATCAATTTCTTTTCTCAAGTTTTCCTTAGATTCAATTACCCAACATATGTACACACTAATCCACTCAAAACAATCACTTTCATCTCAAGAAATCATCAAAACCCAACAAAACAAGATTTAGGATGAACTTCAAGAACACCTATCAAGAACTTAAATCCTTCAACTTTTTGATAATGAAACTTCGCTGAAAATAATATGTTTGGCATGTGGGTGAACAAACTCAACACTATGGAAGCTTACATACCTCTTAGGGATTAAACCCATGGCGAAAATCCGCAACAAAACGCATGACTCTCGATGAACGGTTTGATCCTCTCCTCTTTACTCCTCTTTACTCCTCTTTTCTCTTATTTTCTCTTCTTGAACTCTCAACTAAAACCCTAGGCGTATATTAGGATTATAAAACTGAACCTAATCTGATTAGAGCCCTAAATTATTACTAAAAATGAATTAAATCTGATTGGGTAAGGAAAAGACCAAAATACCCCTCTAAAATCAGATTTTGACTTTCCTTATCTAGACAGCCCAACTTTGAATGGACATATCTCCCACATACGTTATCAAAACTGAGCAAGCTCGGTGGCGTTGGAAAGATAATTCAAAGATCTGACCTACGGTATCTGGTATCCCACCTGAATCATCATGAGCTAGAAGTTATGGTCATTTGAAGTCAACCCAAAACTCATACTTAGCTTAACTTGCAAAATTTCAGATTTTGCTATTTCCAATTTAGTCCTTTTTGGAACTCAAGGTGCTACATCTAGTGACCAGACCTTAATACTTAAGAAATTTTAAATTCCTTCGTAAAATCCTACTCACAACGACAAATGGTTCGAGTCTTAGCTCAAAAAAATTTCTGGGGTGTTACATTTACTCCCTTTAGCAAGGAGGTTTCCACGTAAAATCCTTGTGCAAATTTTACCTTCAGCTATTTACTTTCTGCACTTACTTCAGCTACTGTTCTTGCCGAGTCAAGGGACCTGGTCCATTGACGTATAGTGGATGCTGACTACTGCATGTGCTTACATTCTGTTCTTACTGTGTCAAGGGACCTAGTCCATTGACTCTTAGTGGACGCCTATATTATATCAGTTGTCAATGGAGTATTATACGCTGCCAGCATCCTTTCTTTTCTTGATTCCATTCTTCTTCCTCATCATTAAACAACTCATACAAAAATCTCAAAACCTTCCACCAGGTCCTCGACCATGGCTTGTGTTAGGAAATATTCTCCAAATAGGGAAAACCCCTCATATTTCCCTGGCACAATTTGCCAAAATGTATGGCCCATTGATTTCTATCAAGTTGGGAACTCAACTGGTTGTGGTAGCTTCATCTCCTGCTTCTGCAACTGAAATCCTCAAGACACAAGATCGTCTGTTATCGGTCCGATCTGTGCCCAAAGTTGCTACATATGTGCTCTCTGTTATTGATCAACACTCAATTGTCTTTTCCAGTGACTTGAGCAATCACTGGAAGTTCTTGCGGGAATTTTGTCGAACACATTTGTTCTCACCCAAAGCTGTCGAGTCACAGACTGCTCTGAGGGAGAAAAAAGTGTCGAAAATGATACATTTTCTTAGGTCTAGGAATGGGGAAACTGTGAAGATTTCTGAAATTCTGTTTGGTACCATTTTAAACACGTTAGGGAACCTTTTTCTTTTCAAAAGATTTATGTGATTTGAATTATGAAACGAACACTAGTGGGATCAAACATGTTTTTAGAAAATTTATTGAATTGGGAGCTATGCCGAATATATCAGAATTATATCCTTTATTTGAGGCTCTAGATTTGCAGGGATTGAGAAAGCAGATTCAAGTATATCAGAATCAATTGATCAACATCTGGAGTGAAATTGTAAAGGAAAAAAGGCAGGCAATTAGTCATGGTAGCTCAGACATTTTCGATGCCATGATTGATAGTGGATTTTTGGATTTACAGATCAATATCTTATTGACAGTAATTTCTTCATCACCTTTGAATCAATTTCTTAAAACTAATAGACAAATTTGATGAAATAGGTGTGAGTTTTCTTTTTAAAAGATGATTGAGACGGACATGACACAATCTTGTTCTTCAATTTCAGGAATTAATAGGCGTGGGTTATGACACCACTACCGCAACAACTGAATGGGCAATGACAAAATTGCTAAGGAACAAGGGCACTATGCACAAACTTCAGGCCGAGCTTACAAGTAAATTTGGGGAAAATGATATTATCACAGAATCAAACATCAGCGAACTTCCATATTTGGTTGTTTGTGTCAAGGAGACATTGAGATTCCATTCGCCTACTCCCTTCTTGATTCCTCGTCGTGCACCTTAGACGTGTAAGATTATGGATTACACCATTCCAAAGAACTCAAAATTGTTTGTGAACACTTGGGCAATAGGGCGTAACTCAAACAGTTTGGGAAGATGCATTATCTTTAAAGCCCGAGCAATTTCTAGACTCTAATGAGGACTTCAGGGGTCAAGATTTTGGGATCATACCATTTGGTGCAGGGAGGACAATATGCCCTGGCTTAGGTTTTGCTAGACAAGAAATTCACTTGATTTTAACTAGCTTGATCCATTACTTTGAGTGGTCAGTTCCTAATGGTAAGGATCCAATGCAGTTAGATATGGAAGACAAGTTTGGTGTTACTCTACATAAAGAAAAGCCTCTACTCATTGTTCCTATGTAATACAGTTAGTTATAGAAGACAAGTTTGGTGTTACTCTACATAAAGAAAAGCCTCTACTCATTGTTCCTATGTAATATGAGTATTTTTTTTTTAGTCTATATCCAAGATATAATGTCACTGGGAGTACAAAATAAATGATTTATTGTGCGACAAGTAAAATCAGAAAAATATTAAGTATAACTTGTGTCTTTAGGGTATAAAGATTTTTCGCAAAAGTCGTGACAGTATTGTTTGGAGATGTGTTCTCCTATGGTGGATGCAATGAAATTTCTTTTAGTTTGATAATATATGAAAACCTTGAATAAGATAATAAATGATTATTATGTGTAGCTAGACAGTACATATTATATGAAAATCCTTGAATGATTTAAAATGTTATAAAGTTATTCCATTAAATTGTACCCCTATGATTGTGAGATCGTTTTATATAAAGAAAGATTAGTTTCAGTCACGTTAGAATGAAACAAAAATATCATTTTAGTGCAATTGGTGCACTTATGTATCATGAAAATATTAGAGTGAAACAAATATTGATACAAATTATTTGTTAATATTTGTTTTGATCAATCATGTCAAGGTTTATTGATTATGAAATAGTAGGTGATTCAAATGAAATTTGATCTCAAGAAAGTTGTATGTCTTTATGTGGAAATATTGTCATGTCAAATCATTCCACAAGACAATCAATTTTATATATCGAAATAGTTCATCTTCCTCACTGAACTTTTTTTTATTTTATATAAATATCGAAATTGCATAAATAGTTATGTTATATATACATTCATATATATTGTTTATATAATATTTATATATCGAAATAGTTTATCTTCCTCAACAAACTAATTTTTTTTATTTAGATCCCTGACTATTCAAATTTCTTTTAAACTGTTACAAATTTTAGAGATGAGCTCCTATTAATATTTTGAATTTTTTGATATAATATTCACTCAAAATAATTCACATTTACGACTTGTCTGAGTTTTAAAATTTGTGTTAAGCGCTGAATATACAAAGAATTGTTTGCTTGACTATTATTAATACAATAAAACAAAATAGCAGTAGTGTAAATGTTGTTAATGAGCTTATAAAGAGATTTTTCGCTTATAACCACTCAAAAATAACTTAATTATGTTTCATAGCTATAGTTTGCTAATTACGATTCGTAGCTACATGTTAGAGGGAGGAGATATGCGAGCGAGATTGGAAGAGGGAGGAGAGAGGCGAATTGTATATGTATATATGTTGAACTATATATGTATACATGTCAAATAATTGTATATATGTAACTGATATACATATATATTTGTATATTTGGCAAGTAGGATTGGGAGAGGGAAGAGAGAGGCGAGCGAGATTGGGAGAGAGAGGAGTGACGCGAGCAAGAGGGCAGAGAGAGCCTAATTGTATTTGTATATCTGTCATATAATTATATATATATATATAATTTGAACTTGTATATGTATAAAAGAGGAGAGAGGCGAGAGAGACGAGAGAGATAACATAATTATAGCTAAAATTAAGCTATGAGCCGTAATTAATTCAACCATTGCTATATTAGTTAATTAACTAATATATGTTTGCTTATCCGTGTAATTTTCCCAAAAATAATACTATAAGAGAAGTTGACTGTTTTTTTCTAAAAAAGGTAGGTGAAATCCTATATGGCGGCTAGTGAGTACGACAACTTGGAATATCTTGGTGTTATATATGTCTATTGACCAATTATGAAATATCTTCTCATTATACTTGTGTTGATTTAATGGAGTATTATATGCTGCCAGCATCCTTTCTTATCTTCATTCCATTATTGTTTCTCATAGTTAAACAACTCATACCAAAATCTGGAAATCTTCCACCAGGTCCTCGACCATGGCCTGTGTTAGGAAATATTCTCCAAATGGGGAAAAACCCTCATATTTCACTGGCAAAATTTGCCCAAATTCATGGGCAATTGATTTCTGTCAAGCTGGGAACTCAACTGGTTGTGGTAGCTTCATCCCCTCATTCTGCAGCTGAAATCCTTAAGACTCAAGATCGTCTTCTCTCAGCCCGGTTTCCACCCAGTGTTGCTCCATATGAACTCTCTGTTATTGATCAACACTCAATTGTCTTTTCAAGTGATTTGAGCAATCACTGGAAGTTCTTGCGGGCATTTTGTCGAACACATTTGTTCTCACCCAAAGCGGTAGAGTCACAGGCTGCTCTGAGGGAGAAAAAAGTATCGGAAATGATACATTTTCTTACGTCTAGGAAAGGGGAAACTGTGAAGATTTCTGAAATTCTGTTTGGTACCATTTTAAACACGTTAGGGAACCTTTTCTTTTCAAAAGATTTATGTCATTTGGATTATGAAAGAAACACCAGTGAGATCAAACGTGTTTTTAGAAAAATTTTATAGAATTGGGAGCTATGCCAAATATATCAGATTTCTATCCTCTATTTGAGGCTCTGGATCTGCAGGGATTGAGAAAGCAGACAGAAATATATCAGAGTCAATTGATCAACATCTGGAGTGAAATTGTCAAGGAAAAAAGGCAGGCAATTAGCCGTCATAGCTCGGATTTTTTGGATGTCATGATTGATAGTGGATTCTCAGATTTACAGATCAATATCTTAGTGACAGTAATTTCTCAATTTTTTTAGAACCAATATACTCTGGTTTCAAATAGGAGAGTTCGAGAGTTGATTTCTCAGACGGTCACTCAATTAATAGTTATTGTGTCAAAATGTCAAGAGGAAAGATAACTATTAGTTGAGTGACAATCTGAGACATCAACCCGACAAAATTTGATGAAGTGAATGTGAAATTTTTAGTCAAAATTAATTGTGGCTGACATGACACAATCTTGTTCTTCAATTTCAGGAATTAATTTCTGCGGGTTCTGACACCACAACCTCAACAATTGAATGGGCAATGGCAGAGTTGCTAAGGAACAAGGGTGCTATGCACAAACTTCAGGCTGAGCTTACAAGTAAATTCAGGGAAAATGATATAATCACAGAATCAAACATCAGTGAACTTCCATATTTGGCTGCTTGTGTCAAGGAGACATTGAGACTCCATTCGCCTACTCCCTTCTTGATTCCTCGTCGTGCTCCTGAGACGTGTAAGATTATGAATTATACCATCCAAAGAACTCGAAGTTGTTTGTGAATGCTTACGCAATAGGGCGTGACTCCAACACATGGGAAGATGCATTATCTTTCAGGCCAGAGCGATTTCTTGACTCCAAGGTGGACTTCAGGGGTCAAGATTTTGAGTTCATACCATTTGGCGCAGGGAGGAGAATATGCCCTGGCTTAGGTTTTGCTAGACAAGAAATTCACTTGATTTTAGCTAGTTTGATCCATTACTTTGAGTGGTCACTTCCTAATGGTGAGGATCCAATGCAGTTAGATATGGAAGAAAAGTTTGGTGTTACTCTACAGAAAGAAAAGCCTCTACTCATTGTCCCTATGTAATGTGTATATCTTTTTTGTTCTCCATATGCAACATGTACCTTCACTTGCAAATAAAAACTATACTATTATGTTCCAAAGCTATCTTATTTTTTAGAATGGAATTAGTTTTTGCATTGTTATGATAGAATGGTTGGTGATTGTTGGTGATCAATATGGTGATGATTCGGTCGTGAAATAATTGTTTCGGGTGTATGTTATTCCTATGTCAGGTGTGGATGTTACTAATTATGAAATGAGTGTATTTCTGGTATATTTGGAATGTATATATGGTGTATTTTATTTGATTGTATGCCGTATGAATTACTGGACTTGCGTGTCGGTTTGATAGAATGTTTAAGAATACTATTTAATAGCGTGTATTAGTTATCCGAATTTGGTGGACTATATACGATTTGATAGGCTCGATCTGAAAGTATTATGCTAGAGTTTGTGGGAAGAAAGAAGAAAGAAAGTATCTCCAAAATCTCTTAAAATTTGATTTCTAGTTTTTGAAAATTATAGGCTGCCAATCGTTATAATTGCCTATTAACTGAGTTTGGAGAAACACTAATCACTTTCTGGGCTAGTAATATTGGGCCTCATAACTAAACTAAGCAATTCCATTAGTGTAGTTTTTCTTTGTTTTTGGGGAACTTTCACAAATTTGTCACTATAATAAATTTAATTATGCTTCATAGCTATAGTTTGCATATTTACGGGTTGTAGCTACAATTTAAGCTGTCTCGTTTGTATAATTTGCAAATTTGTATAATTCGCAGGTACATTTGTATAATTTAGTTATTTTTGTATAAACTTGAAATAATGAATTTATACAATTACAAAAATCATAAGTGTAAACAGTTATACAAATTATATTATACAAATTCTGAATTATACAAAAGTTATACAAATTATATTATGCAAATTCCAAATAATACAAACGTGCGAATTATACAAAACTAAAAAGCTGAGCCGCGTAATTATAGCTAAAAGCAGGTCGCGAATTGTAATTAAGGCAAACTATAGCTATGTTATCTAATTAACTAGTATATATTTGTTTATACACGTAATTTTCCCTTTCTTGTTTTTTACCAAGTAAAAATTTGACACATATATATCACTTGATGACTCAATTATGATCAAATTGACTCCATATTCATCTTAGCCTATTTTGTAGGAAAAATTAAAAATTGATGAACATTTTGTCAACTGCCACTAGAGATGTTCCGTTTGGCCTCAAGAATACTTGGAAAAAATTTGGGGAAAAAATTAAAAAGTGGTGTTTAATTTGGTCATATAACTTAGCAAATATATTTGTCAAGTATTTCAAGTTTCCAAATACTAGAAAAAACTAGTATTTGGGCCAACTTCTAATATTTGGGAATTTTAAAAAATTAAAAAAATTACCCCAAATTTCTATATTTTATTAAAAAATACCCGTCATTTATTAAGTCCAACTAATATTTGTTACTACCTCCTCCGAAAAAGTTTGAGTTCTAATTTAAGTGATAAAATTGAGAAAAAAGAACAATTTGTTTTGATGGGTTATAATTATAACCGAATCAATAACAAGTTTGAATATGTGATTAATGTATTGCTCTTGCATATATTGTTATTTTGTTGTTGTTGATTGTTATCAATTATGTTATAAGGTTATTTTTTAACTGAACATATTCAGTTATTCACTATGAATAGATAATACAAATTTATGGGTATCTTTAATAGTTTTAGAATTTATGTGTATAAATCATATTTTTTAAAATAGTAAAATATTCTTGAAAAAACTTGGAGCCAAATACATGTTGTAATTTAACCAAAAACTAGGATGAAATATTATTTGGAAACTTGGAGCCGAACGCTAGCGTAATCGAGTTCGCTTACCTCACTAATGAGCTTTGGCGATATAAAGCTTTAATATATTATTGCATATAATTTTCTTGAGTCGACGATTAATGTATATCCTTTTTTATATAAGAACAAAAAATGCTGGAGAAAATATTTGTATTTTATATCAATTGTATTCAATTAAATATAAGTGAGAGATTTGTGTTTTATATCAATTGCATTCGAAAACTGTATTTGTATTTTTGTATCAATTGTACGTGTATTCATACGAATACAATATGCATTCATCTTCTTAGTCAAATATATTCAATATCAATTGTATTCAATCAAAGAGCGGATGAATACAATTGTATTCGTTGTATTTCAAATACAATTGACACAAAATACAAAATAGTTGTGCACTAAATAAATTCAAAATATAATGCAAAATACAATTCTCTCACCTCTCTCTGTCGATCTCGCTCGTCTCTCCTCCTAATATGTACTCATTTTGATACATATCAATTTGTATTTATATTTTTTTCCTCCAAAATCTGCAAAATATAAAAATACAAATGTATAGCAAAATCAAACTATTGTTGCGAGTTCTAATTAGTGAAACTGTAGCTATGGATTCCTATTTAAGGGATAATGTTTGTTGTTTTTGAAAGTTTTCAATTTATTATTTTTGAGTTATGAACAAGAGCTTGAAGAAAAATAATTTATTTATAATATCATAAATCTCTGAATAATTTCAATAACTCTCCACTACAAGAAACTAGATAGAAAGTGAAAAACCTATTCCTATATAAATTTGACGAGAAAATGGTCAAATGACCCCCTAATCTATATGCAGATTTTCAACTACACACTTCAATTTTATAGGGGTCCTATTACCCCATTAAACTGTTTAAAATTGAAATTATTACACTCTTAAAATACCACAACCATATCTATGTTGACGGGTGAAACTCACGCATTTGACACGTGGAATATTATAAAAAACTTTTTTTATAAAAAAATTAATCTTTCTCCTTTTTGATTTATTGTTTTAAATTACAGTTAAAGGTCATAACATGAAAGTTTATGGATGTATTTTGATCTTCAAATTTGAAACTAGTTGATGATGACATTGTTGGTTGCTAATTTTTCAAGCTAAAAACACTAAGTTTGAGTTTTTGACTAAGTTTATTGCTGCAATTTTTAGATTTGAAGAACATTGAAACTCCATGAATACCGACGAGCTTTTATATGAAATTTTTAGATCTATTTTCTGGATTGGGAACAACATTAGCTGGTGTTTTGAAGAGTTTCATATGGCAAAAAACGGAAGCTCATGGTTTAAAATGTGAACAACCAACTTAAAACCTCCATTAAAGTTGGTTCAAAAGGCCTGGGTTCAAATTCGACTTGTCACAAACAAGTATCGTTTAGAATGGGTAATATATAAAAAAAAATCAAAATGTCGAAAAAAGCTTATATCTAAAATTTTGCTTGATTTAAAGAAGTTTTAAGGCGATTTTGCATCAATTATTCAGAGCAACGGGATGAAGAAGATGAAGAATGGCGCTGCATTTTCAGATTTGCAGGAATTTGTCTAGTTGTTAAAATCAGTTGAATTTTTTTTTCCATAGATCTGTTGGATATTGAATATAGGATTAGAAATTTCCTTAGTATTACAATTTCTTAAAGAAAATTAGTTGAGTGTCACTATATTAAGCGTATTCAAGCTTGAATTTTGCTTTGATTTGGAAGATTTTTGGTGCATAGTTCTTGATTGTGGAGAGTGATGGATGAAATTGCTATATACGATTTGTGGTGCATCGATTGACATAGTGAAGAGGGAAGACGATTGTTTCAAGATGGTGAGGGGTGATGAAATTCAATGGCGGCCAGTTGCTGGGAGGAAGAAAACAAATTAAAAATGAGATAAGAATAATTAAGAAAAAAGAGGAAAAAATTAAAAAATATGAAAAGAAACATTAAAATAAAAATCTAATTTTTTTTTTTGCTTTGCCAGATAAGCATCTAGGGAGGTAATAATTTTAATTGTAAACAGTTCAAGTGGGTAATAGGACTCCCATGAACTTAAAGTGTGTAGTTGGAAATTCGAATATAGATTAGGGAGATTTTTGACCATTTTCTCTAAATTTGACTATAAGTTCTATTTAAACATGAATTAGATAAACTAAAACAAGTATCAAATCCTATACAAAATTATATATATTCCCTAGTACAACTATATGAATTAGTCTTTCAACAAATTAAAATTCTTAATTCCTAGTACATCTTTGAATAAGAGCTTCATTACTCATACTAAAATCTTAATCAATAATACATATAGTATAATAGGAGGGACATTTTAGGCTGGCTGCCAATTGCAATGGAACTAGCTAGTTCAAAATAGATGCAGCTAGAAAACAATAGGAGTAGTCATCATCATCAATTAAAGCCTCCCCCAATAGTTTTCTCCATTCTCTAGCAATCTATTTTAGTTTCTCCCCCATTTTGTTTGATTCCTTGACAATGACTGACATTTTATGTGGAAGCCAAGAGGCAAACTAATGTTTAGGAAATGCATGTATATATGTCCATAGAGCTTGAAGCCTACCCTAACAAAAACAAACGATTTAGCAGCAATAATATAATTGTCGCTATATTATATTTAGTGGCAATAATTAATATGAGTATTTATAACCAACACACTCTATATAAATGTCGCTAAAGACTTTGAAAAGACTCTGAATGTAGTGACATCAACTCAATTGTCAAAATTTATTACCGCTAAATGTTTCGTGGTTATAGTGCTATTCAAGTACAAACACGTTTTCTTTCATTAGCTACATATATTTTCTTGAATTTATTGTATCCGGAGAATTTTTTTTGAGTATACAAGATCGATCAGAATTAATAATCTTAAGACAATTGGTAGGTTAGTTCAAATAATGTTAAATAAAATTCATTGGATATATTCCCTAGGTGTACCTCCCACGAGATATTATGCTTCAATCTATTATTAGATCATGTGCAAACGTCTCACAATGGGAAGTTGATAAGAAAGATTTTTTTTTTACATACTATCAGATATAGCGATATATTAATCGTTTGAAATTATTTTTGGAGAGAACTATAATGGCTATGCCTAAATCATAGCTAAAACTTATAGCAATCTAGGTTGAGAATTTTTTCTTATATATGATTCAATAAAGTTAAAAATTTAAGACAGATATATTATTACATGATATTCCTATTTCTATTTTAGGATTAGTTCAATGTTCTCATTTAATAATTTCCACTCATATTCAAAAGAAAAAAATAATAATTAACAACTGGCACTAGCACACAGCT